TTAAATTTTTTTAATTTAACATGATTACTTTCCTCTCAATTTTGGAGGCGTTTTAATAGTTACGTTGTAATTTTGGATAGTTTTTGTGTATCTTTGATAAGCATTTTCCCTGAGGCACTAGAGCTGTGTAAAAACAAATTGGAACCAAAATATTTGTTAATCCTGTATAAAAGAATAGTTTGCAGCTGTGTGCTAGTAGTTTGATTTACCAACATTAGCTCTGTGGTGTCATGCTTTAAAGTTAGCTACTTATCACAACATACACAACTATAACCTCCATTTTGAAGGTTGTCCAGGCTATTATCTCTGCTTTCTAATTTGTAGAGAAATAAGATTTTTCTTTCATTACTGGGTATTATGTAACCTATTTTTGCAGAAGGTACTGTTACATTGAGTGCATTTATGTGTATTCTTGCAAATGTATTCTTTTGAAATAAACCTTCATATTCTGTATAGCTTCTAGTAAGTCTTTGAAACAAGTCTTTGGGGAAGAGAGAATTAAACAGACATGTTGGTATAGCAAATCAAAACATGGGTGCCATTAGCTTCCAACTAAGACTTCTTTGTCTCCTTCGCTGTTACTGAATATAAAGTGTAGAAGCAAATTTGATAGCACAAGAAAGCTTAGGCCTCCCATGAGTGCTCCTTTATTTTTTGGTAGTAAAGAAATAATTTTACAGTTTGCCAGAGCTTTGCTAAGCAAAGAGCAGAACTTTGATACAACTGGTTTTTTTAAACCAGACTACCACAAATGAACTTTGCATACAGTGGTTGGAGAATTCTATATATGCAGTCTTGTTCAGGTATACCTGCAAGTGTTCACTGATGGGGTCTCAAGCAAGAGAGATGCATCTTTTAAACCTTGTGGTTTTATTTAACATTGCATGGCCTATGTTAAATCTTTCTTGACCAGGCCCAATCAGAAATGTTAGGTAGTCACCCCGAGACTCATCTATTACCCAGCCAACATAAGTATATAGTTACAACACTGCTGTTTAGCAAGTAAAAAAATAAAAAGGGTGGGGGGACCAAATCTAATCCACTACACAGCTTTACCAAATTGGATAGTTACAGAAATTAACAGAGGACCTCACTAACAGACCATAAGAAGAGCTTGTAAAGTAGTATTTGACTAACAGCTGGAAGCTTTCACTGGTCCAGATTGTCTTTTAAAGAATGATTTAAGTTACAAATTTTAAAGCAGGAGCCAGTAAGAACATGCTGATGTTGCACATGGATCTTTGCCAGCCTCGGTTATAGTCTGCTTGCTGTGTGGAAGAACTGCTAAGTACCTGCAGTGCTCCAGAGGAATTAAGTAGCAGAAAGCAAGTTAAACTAAATTGTTTCTGAGTAAGTAGCCTTTCAGGAAAGATGGAAGGAGACAGAAACCTGGTATAACAGCATTTGCTATAATTAATCCTTTATGAATATTCACGACTGACAAATATTTAGGTTTAAACAAAAGAAATACGCTGTCTCAGGACACATTTATCCAGTAAGTAACTTATCTTGATGCATTTAATACATCGCTGTTGTTCAATTCTAAGAAGTTCAATTTACTGAGTTTTTTTGCAGGTGTTTGCAAGAGAAAGTACAAGTTCAGAGTGCATTTAAAAAGTACATATCCATTTGGCTGCAGTCTATGCTTAATTAGGTGTGACAACACATACAAAATAACTATTTGCTATAACATGAATTTGTAGTGGCTAATAGATCAAATGGGAAATATGAAAGTTTATAACCTTGGAAGACAAAGCTATAGAGAAGTACAAAAATAAAACTGGAGTTGTGACTTGATACCATGCCTACAGTAAACAGGTCTAGATGTGCCTTCCAACTGTTAAAGATATAAATAATATTTCCTGACTTTTTTTGCTTAATTAAATGAAAATGTGATTGTGCCTATATAGATTTCACTTTTAATTAAAATATTGAAGTAAACTAGGATGATGAGGAAGAAAAAATCTCAACTGAAAACAAATTGCCAAAAAACTTTAAATAATTTATAAATTCAGATCAACAGTAGTCTATCCTTTTCCACAGTAAGATTTTTTTTTTCTTTAGTATTTCATCCAACCTTTATTATTAGGAAAGAACTTAAATAGCTAAATGAAATGTTTATTTAAGTTTGCTCACTTAAATTTATTTACATACAATGAATTTCAGAAGACTGTTAACCAAAATAAATCTCATTAGGGTAAAGACCTTAAACTATAGAGAGGCTGATAACTGGAGACACTTTTTAAAAGATAACAGAATTTAACAGTTTTTCTTTTGTGGTACACAAACAACAAAAAGGGGTATTAAGATAAATAATTTTCAGAGAAGTTCAGTTCTATGAGTGTTCAAAATTATTTTAACAATTTACAAGGAAATGGTTGTTTCCTTATAGTCTTGAAAACACATTAATACAATATAAACAATTAAGGCTTTTAAAATGCAAAACATTCAGTAGTTGAACTTGTAGACGCCATTACAATGTTGGATAATGGTGTAACATGATGAAAAGGACTTCAGTCACATACATTGGTACAAACAATACTGCATGACTAGATGTAATCATGTCATGCACCTCTAAAATATGATTTTTAAAAATTTAACTTCTCCCATCTCTTGGTAAATCTACAATAGCTTGCATTAGCTTTTATTTTTGCATTTCCTTTTAAAACTAGATTTAGAGATCAAGGTAAACATTAGGTGACTAACAGGCAGCTCACAACTAAACTACTGATTTAACACAGCAATTCCATGATTCTGGTGGGTCTAAGCATGGCATCTTGAAGACATTACTAACCTAGAAGTCTTTTGGAACTTTCCTAAAACACATAGATTATTTTTTTCTTTTTAATAATTTCATTGTAAAAAGACTCAGACAAGGCAGTGAATGTGGTAACAAGTATTTGACTTACTTAACACTGGAGAACTAGGGGCAACTTCTATAGGATTCATTTTTTTGTTTCATTGGTTTCATCTGTAGTTTCTTTAATAAGCTTACATGTATAAGGTGATTATCCAAAGTTGTACAAATAATAGCTATGCATCTATTGAACAGATAAAAGGATAATCAAAAATTATTAAAACTTAGATAAGAATTTCTTTCACCAGAAGGTGTAATATGAAAGATAAAACCAAAACGCTGTCATTTAACATTAAAGGTCTGTCAGGTTATCGTGGAAGAACTGATGACAGTATTTTTTACTCTTATGAAGAAAGTAGCTGTAAGGTATTAACATTCTGTGACTTCTTATGTAAGAACTAGTACTGAGCAAGTAGCAACAGATTTAGAATTTCTGTGGGACAGGACAAGATACTTACTTGATACTTTCTATAGTTTTAAGTACCACTATCATATTTTTTTGAGGCTTAACCTGTAAACAGTGATTATACACTGCAAAAATACAGGGGGAAACACCATTCGCAAGTGACAGAATTTGTCCAATACAATCTGATAGCAATCTGGGGGGAAGTATTAACTGTTTTATTTCTGCAAGTACAAACTGTATCAAAACCAGAGTCCTGCTTATTTAATGAATGTCTGTACTGTAATTGTCTGACCAGTCACACTCTTCAACATAATGTAACAGCACTAGTGATTTCAAGAGTTATCAAAATATAGGTGAAGAAACACTTGGTACAACAGATTTGTCTCTTGAAATCAGTTGTACCTACCTATGGTCAATGGGTCACCTGTGGGTTCTTGAAAGTCATTTTACCTTGCCAGCATCAAAAAGAAAGCATGTGAGAAATCCAGAAATGCAAGCTTACTGCTGTAAACTGAGTATGTGAAATGCAAACATGTAATTATTTGCAACCATTCATGATAAAAAATGCAAATGCTGAATTATAAGTAGTTTAAAAATTCACAAGCAGGTTCATTGGTTCACTGTATCTATCTGCAGTGGTCTTGAAGATAACCAGCTACTATACTTTTCCAAGCAAAAGAAGGATTTTATTTCCACAGCAGTAATTTTTTCCTATAGTAAACAACTCAATTGTACAGTCTACCAGGGCTGCAACCAGCCAAAAAAAACCCCACAGTTACTTACTCACCTCACATAGAACCTGTTTTCAAACTTTCAATCTGAAGGACTTCACTAAAACTCAACTGAAAACAAAACCAGTAATTAATATAAAACAGCTCCTTTATGGCTGTGGTTAATCTGCAATAACAAAAGCCCTAAAATTAAGAGGCCCGTTGATGCCCCAACACCACAGTACTGAAGAGAAAATAAAGTTCCATTGGAAGCAGGCATAAAATGCTGAAAAGCTAACAAAACCGAAGACAGTTAAATTCAAAACTGACCTTGTTTTTTCTTGACAAATACACAGGATAATCTAACACTAGCTTTCCTCTTAAAAAAAAGGGGGGGGGGTGTAGAAACAGCATAGATTAAACTTTCTTATTTGGGCTGAGATTTTTCAAAAGAATAGTATTAGTCACCAGCTTCTTCTGCACCTTTTGGAAGTTCTGGCTAAAGCTGGAAGTACAGGCTTTTATTTCAGTTGTTTCTCCCAGTGCTCTGCTTGCAGAGCTGATACATGTTGGTAATTAACTATGAAAAATTTTAATGAAACTATAGAACTGGCTTGCATAAGGCTACACTGAAATGTCATGTTCCTCCTCATGGCTGTATCTGGTAGTATGAAGTTGGACTGGATACTAATAAAGATTTAGGACAAGTGTTAAGTATTGCAATACTGCTCTGGAAGCTTAAAAGGATCCTAAAATGCATTTGACCACCACTAATTACTGCGACTATAAGATAGCCCTGAACTGTTAGCTATTGCAATTCACAAGAGACCAGTAAAAAAACAAAATGTTGCATTATTTTGTTTAGAATAATTCTTTTCCTAATATTTATTAAATCCTTCCACTGAAATTTCTACAGCATAGGTTTGCTACTGATGAAGCAGTTTGTTAGTTCTAAAAGGTGACTGCTGCATATATAGCTAAATGCAACATTCTCTTACAGAATCAAATGTTAAGGTGGGGGGACAAGAAAAACTTTGTGTCAAATCATTACATTTCTACAGAAATTTTTATGCATTCTTTAATTTCCCAAGACTGAAAAAGACAGTATTACAAAGAACATTTCAAGGTAGGTTCAAAGTCTGTTAAGAAAGCAGTCATCTAATTTTTTGTATTTCTTTCAGAGAAAGTAAGTGCATTTATAGCATGGACAGAAATAATCATGCTACCTTTATTATAGCTGGCACATATAATGAATTATAATATGGACTTAATGACAACATGTACTTGGAATTCATACATTGAGAAGTCCATATCATCATGTCCTCAGTATTAAAATTGTTAGCATTACCTAGATAAAGATTGCATGGTTATGTCTAGTTAAACTATACTATGTTTTTGTGAGCTGCATGAATTTACAGTAAAGGAATTGGGACGCCAAATCAGACTGCCTTTCAGCAGTAGCTGGCTAACACAGCTCATCTCGTAAAACTTCTGCCTATTCTGTATTCATTGAGATGCAATGTATAACAGCACTAATGTTTTCTTACATCTGATTTTATAGTTTCCATTAAATTTTATAATTTACCATCGCCAAAACATTTTTTGGCGATGGTAAAAAGATCTTTCCTTTAACTGTTCTACAGCTCTTGTATTTAAAAGCATCAGAGTTGCTAAGTGTAAATACTGATTTTTGTCAGTGTTATTTCTGTGTCTCAAGGCGGAAGTGTCAGTATCTGAATGCTCAGCAGTGTTTACTAGATTATAAGCATAAACATTAACTCATCATCAGCTTTACAGTCTGGACCACATAAACAAGCCTTAAGAAAAAATACTCAATGCAAATATTAATGACTAGACTGGGCCAGTTCATATGAAGGGGAAGAAATTTGTCAATTTACATATTATTATTTTGGAGTTCCCCAAAACAAGACATGACAAAACCCAAGGATCTACCCATTACTCAGCTGATTTAAGTTTATTAACACACTGGTGTTTCTTCTAATAGCAATTTTGACCCTTTCCTTGGTATGTGCCAGTGAACTAGAACAAAAGTCAACAGAAGGTTTCAGGCATAATACCAGTTATCCCAGCTTCTTCTGAAACACATTTAGAAAAAAATCTAAAAATGCTAAACTATGTCAGGTGAAATTTTCAAGACCATTTAGCATAATCTTAATTTTGAAAAGCTACAGCTGAAGTCTTAACTCAGAAAGCCTGTGCAAGTTTGACTAACAGCTTCAACAAGAAAAGAGAACATGAACTTCAAGTTGAGACAGACCAAGTATCACATTACTTCATCCAGCTCTGTGATGGAGAATCTTAAGTTTGTCTGAGCTAAAGTCTCATGAGACACTGGTAGATCACTTCCCATATTTATGAGTTTCACAATCAGTATCACTTAAGCCGGATGGGACCTAAACTGAAATTGGGTCAGCACTAAAGGACAGTTCTCAAGAGATTATAGTTAAAGTGATATAAAACTTACATAAGTTTGTGCTCCTGTCCACCCCCAAGATCTATATATATTTAGCTTAGTGTTTGACTATATCAGACAATCATATTTCACGCACTTTTGGCCCCAGCACGACTGTTAGCCACACCACCACCACGTGCTTCCTTAAACGCGTGACTCAACTAGTGATGAAAGCACTTGCAGTGCCTTATTTCATGTTTCATCAACAGATTACATTTAGAGAAAGAGACACCTTTATTTTCATCATATTGTTACAATAAGTTATTTTGTAAGCATACTGTTTATACTAAGCTAGCAAACTTTTCAGTTGAGTACTGAAACTTATCTGAATTGTCCCCTATGGATTTTCCAAACCTAACAACATTTTGTTGAAAATTTTTCTATACTGTCAAGTAGAGGTAAACATGGGATCTTAACTTCTAAAGATGATTAACTAGATAGATAGTTAAAAGTTCTTAACCTCAAAAAACAAGCAATTGCTCATTTCAGCACATGAAGCTTCTCCATGAGCACAAGTAATCCTACAAACCAGAAAAGGAACTGTAAAGGCAGTAAAGAACTTCCAGGTTTCAGCAATTTCTCTAGAGCTAACTCTCCAGGTAAAGAGAGCTCATAGTGATAGAGCTGGCATAATGACCAAAATTGAACAGTAGACAACTGACAGTTAATAAAACCAGAGATATTAGAGGGTCAGAACAGCTAGTCTTGACCTAGAAGCATTATGAGAGTGACAAACAGTGCATACAGGGACAGACACTGCGAACCCACTATGAAATAAGCATGCTGGTCATTGCCTAGATGAGAAGATTTGGCCACTGCATGCTGTGCTACAGCTATTTATGTCTAAAATAACAGCAAAATTAAGGAAAAAATCCCTAAACAACCTCAAGAGGTGGACTTTTATGTTCCAGCCTGTCCTTCCTCCTCAGCATTTCCCTATGGCACTTCTTCCCCAGCAGAGCAGATGACAGTTGAGCTTAAATACATTGCTTTTCTACTCAACAACTCTAACAGGCTGTGAACAAGAAGGACCTATGTGGAAACACTATGGAAATTAACATCCGGTAGACTTCTGTATGAATGATTTTGTATGAGAAAGTGTCATTCATCTCACCAAATATTCCCACTCAAACCCAACACTGCTAGCAGTCTGTTGCTAGTTATGCTTAAAAAAAAAAGTAACTGCACTGAATCACAAGATAAAATGCATATGTCTTAAGTTCTTGCATGTGACATCTGCTATCATTGGACTATCTGAACGTTTTTCAGTGTTACATTTTTCTTGTTACCAAGGTCTTGTTATCATAACACTGGTGCAAAAAAATGTAAGCATTATATTGCAACCGAACTAAGGCTTGTTATTTTTGCTTTTCTCTAACATGCTTTCTAATGAGGATACTGCATCAATTAACTTGCATTTCCTGAGTCACCTGCTTCTTAAGGTTACAACCTTAAAAAAAGTCTACTTTTATATAAAATAAATACAGCTCTTAATTCAGTATGTTGTATTTAGATGTGCTTTCTATAAACTTCAGCAATTGACTATGATAAGCATCCTAATGGTAGGAAAGCTCATCGAAGCAATGAGCTAGCTTTGGGTTATAGATCTATTGTAGCAGGAAAGAACAAAGGTTCAAAGTACATCAGCTTCACCTTTTACTCAAGTATTTCCTGCTGAATACACCAAAAGATTCAATTTCAAGAACTCAAATTGCCTTTTATTACATACTGGAAAATTTTTTCAAGAACTTGTATATACAAGTTTGAGGAAACATTTGACAATAACGTGAAATACCAAATGAGTGTAGAGATTGACTGGCAATTCAACGCAAGTGTACACAGAAGAGCATATGCTTCACTTTTAACTTGTGTGCCTGTGATCCACAAGAAGAGCTCTGTAAAGACAATCTGAACACATACTTTATTATATTAACTAGATGGCTAGATACAAAATATATTTTTTGCATTGTATTTAAGTGAATTTCAGGAATGCTAATTTCATCCTCTGGTGTTACAGTCTTCCATTGGATCTGCTTTGTTGGGTCACAGATTCCATTTGAGTGTCACAAGAAAAGTGGTATATTTGAGCATTTACAAAGTGCCTTTTAGAAAAACATTTATCACTATGGCAGTGCTCATTTTTTCGCTAATTTTAAGAATACTTGTATTTAGCTTTTTTAATTTCACAACTACTATGCAACAACAAAAATTCTATGATTCTGTTTTCTGTGCTAGCTTTTATCTAGTGGAAAACAAGTTCTACTCTACTTTTCTGGACACTTTCATATATATTATGTAGGTATTTGGAGCATGTGCATGCTAAATTGTATAAACAGATTTAAAGTCTAAATCTGTACCCTTACACCAGAACATGAGCTTCAAAAAAGAGGCAAATGAAGTAAATAGTCAGAAGTAGACATCGTCTTTTTGATACTCCATGAATATCTTGTAGTATTGTTTTCCAAGCTCACTATTAGAGATAAAAGCAATTCTGTTCCTTTTTTTTGATCATCAGATACTGTCATAGAGATCAGCTGTGATAGTTGCTTTTGCAAGATTAGTCACAGCAGGTTATCAATTAAGTTTCCAGATGTATTTCATTTTGGATATTAACAAGCTCATCTGCTTATAACTTTTGCTACTAACAAGCTCAACTCGTGCAGAACAATGCCCTAGATTTCAGGAATTCTTTACCTTTTTCCAAAGCTTCAAGACCTGTAAAGAAAAAAGGATATTAACAGAAAACTGTTTGAATAGCATGCCTGCGATCTCAAAAAAACCTGAAACCTTTTACTCCTTTATTGAAAGAGAAACTGAATTATCTGGGAGTTTAAACCTCATAATGAGCATTGACATTTAACTCTTCTTCCTTTGTGACTAAATGACAATATTACCGTAACTACAGTATATTAGATTTCAGGCACATCTGTCTGAAACTGGAAATGTTACATGAATTCTTCTAATACAAGTATCTTAGGCAAAAAGATATACTCTGTAGCCACAATGCCTGCTCCAGCTAGATTTGTTCAAAAAGGAATTTAAAGTGGCAATACTGTCACTGAAAATAATAAGATAACAAACACTTAGCTTGACATATTTATTTTTCAAGGTCAATAAATAAATGTAAATACACAAATTTGGAAAAATCTTAGTAACAGAATGTTTTTAAACAACATTCTGGCTTAAAGTCTTCGTTATTGACACTACTGGAATATTTTCTGATCTGCTTAAAGTAGATAAGTCATTATGTTGGTGATCCTCCATCACATTAATTTGAAGAAGTTAGGCTGCTGCAAAGGAAAAAAAGACATCAACCTTTGCTCTGACATAGAAAATTATCTGAATTGCATACATTAAGTATTAGTTACTTTTCTGGGTATGACTTTTCTAGAGAATAGAGAAATTTTTAAATTTACAGTTCGCGTATTAGAGACCTCCTACTGTTCATTACATCATTATTATAAAAGGGAAATTGTAACAAAAGTGGAAAAAAAGCAAAAGAGAAAAAGGCATGGAAGAAAAAAGTGATACAAACTGGCCCTTTAGTTAAGACATTCTTCCTTTATCTGTGTAATTTTCATTCTAGGTTCATAACAGATTTATGTGATGACTGGTTCCCATCACTACAGCAAGTCTGCTTGAAATAATTTTAAAGCAGCTTTTTACCAGTGGACTTTTGTTTAGACACCCTTTCTTTTGCAGACATTCTCCAAACACCTGAAACCAGGAATGTCATATTCCACCTGGCTGCCTTAGCTTTCCCAGATTATTGTATACTAATGCATTTACCCAGGCTTAGAGCATGATTACATAACTTGTCCAGGAGAAGCAGCCTTTTTCAAAAGTATCTACAAATTGCTAAATAGAAATTTTTATCAAAAAGGTTCAGCAAGAAAGTAACTGTTACTGACTTAATGGGAGTGGAGGAGGATTTGTGGTTCCCTCAAAATTCAGTAAGTATTCTATTTCTGTATTCTATAAATACTACAAGATGCAACATGTTTATTTGGTTCCCATAAATTAGAAAAATCTGTTTTCCAAAAATTCTAAATTAGTGATTTAAAAAACCAAAATATTACACCTGACCACCCTTCCAAACAACCTCAGAGAGCAGTCTTGCTTCTCTCTCACCCTTCAGAAGTGTGCTTTTTAAGGATACATGATTTACAAAACAAACAAAAAAAGTGTGTTTTTAACTACAGTACACTTGCTTAAATACACAAGTGGACATGTTAACGTCATGTTAAAGTTCAAGGTACTTCTGGAAAAAAGGCAGATAGTTAGTTATTTTAACTCTGCATTCTTACATAGAATAATGATTATTATAGACCTTAGTTTCCTCTCATCATTCACCTATCATATGGAGAGGTCAATAAATAAGAACTTATCTGGTCCAGTTTACCTACAAGAGAAAAAATACTAAAAGAAAAAAGTTACCTATAAAATTACTTGTTTAACCCTGATAACATCTGAGTTGCCATACCCAGTTTGTAATTGCAAGAAAAGCAAACAATATTCATCTTGCTTATTAATAAATGCCCCATTTTCTATGACAATTTTTTGTATGATGTCTCTCAAGTCACATATTCTTGGGGCAAGAAAGCTGGCTAGGAGGTGCAATGATAGCAGTAACACAGTATAAATCTGGGTTCAAAAAACCGAACATACCAGATCCAGAAGCAAAGAAATCTGGACACATTGAGGAGGCAGTGCCCAGCTGTTATTTGGGCTCTTGTGTCGTGAAGACTATACCCAGCCTAAGATATAGTTTCATACCATATAAGTAACACAGAACTCTGTTGTGCTAGTGTACAGACTTCAGGAAAAAGTCTTACACAAAATTAATTACCTCCGTTGTTTAGAGTAGAAGATAAAATAGCTTACTAACTGATGTAATGAGTAATGGATGTCACTATGACACAAAACTTGCCATGATTTGTGTGTTCAGCTACAAGGTGCAGTATTTCTTATGAATAACTCAAAGCACAGCCGTATCCAACTGTGATTTGGAATTCCATCTTGAGCAGCACGCACTATGACTTTGAAGAAAGTCTGTATGATTGTAACAAAGTCACCCATCCTCTCTTGAAACATGAACAAAATCCATGGGGTAATCAGGCACAGGCGGCATGTAACAGGTTTGTCTTCCTTTTTACTCCTTGTTTTTGCTTCTGAGGACATGCACTTGGGCTCCAGACTAAATCCATTTTCTATTACAAGAGAACACAGCTATTCTTCTCTTTTTCTCTCTCTTTCTCTCGAGGCTCTTTACGTTTGCGTTCATTACTCCCAGATTGTCTTCCGCTTGCTGGAGAAGCAGCGCCTTGCACCTGCTGTGCAGAAAAAATAAAATCTTGAATAAAACAAACATTATTGTAGATGCAGTCTGAAGTATTACTCTGTGTTCAAGTTCACAAACAAAAGTTTAGCTATTATGCAGACTGCAGAATTCAGGGAGGGTCTTTTTGTATAAATATTCCAGAACTGCCACAGAACTACTTATTTCTAAAAAAATGAAGTCAGCTGAAAATATGTTTCAAGTCCTGTGTGTCCCTTCTATTGTGTCCACATATTCAGATCAGTTGTTTCAGTAATAAAATTTGGCTTCGAGCATTTTCTGGCACTGCTATATTACTGTACTGGAATTTTTTCCTGGTTTCTTCTATAAGAACATATTTCACATTTCAGAAGTTGCAGAGTGAAAGTGTTGGTTTTGAGAGGTAGATATGGCAAAGCAGCAGCTTTTTGTGACTAGAAACTAGTTAAGAACTTGACAAGGGGGTCGGTATACAAAGGCAACTTAAGTTCTGTTATTTCATCATTTATTCCAGCTGTTATCCATTGACAGTTGCAAATGAGCAATACTGTTAAGTCCTGTTAAGCAGGTTCTTCAATTCTTTCTACCTTTTTGCAGCCAGCAGTAGTGAATCTTTATCATGGAAGTAGCTACTGATGATTCTATTAAAGCAACAAGCAGTGGAAATAACACAACTTTTACTTATCAAAATTCTTATTTCATGCCTAACAAGCACATCAGTTAATGGTTCTGAATTGCTTCAGGCCATCAAAGATTCAGCCTTCATACAGATTATTTTTTACATATTTGTAAATAAAAGCAGTTTTAAGCCTTTAGCAGTTAAAACTCCCAGAATCCAGAACACCAACTTAAATATTGCCTCTTGCACACAGGATTCAGTTATATGGCAATTTTTTATATACATGTGCATGAGTCACATTTTCCAAGCATTTTGAATGCAACTCCTTATGGGGATGGGACAAAAAGGTGTACTGGGAGAAACTTAATTTCCTAATTTTAAAGAGGACTGAATAGATTCACATATCATAGACAAAGACCTAAAAATGTAAAGAAACAAACTTCTGCAAGACAAAGACAAAACTTCAACTATCAAAAAACTCTTACTTGAATGCTATTTTGCAAGTAATATAAAATATTAGTTAATACAATCTTTGTAACCTTACGTATTAACTCATCCCATCACTCCAATTTAAATAGTATGAATGAAACCCTAATTTAGAAGGTTAGGTCTGCTTTAAAAGTATTTAAGTGGCAGCAACTGCCGTATCTGCATGCATATTCCAACAATTATAGCATATGTCTTAAGATTCCTATATTCATCTCGTCACTTGCTGTATAGAATGTAAATAGCAGTCTTATCAGTCTGAAACATTTACAAATGTAGATGTGTCTATGTAACTATTAAGTTGATACTCTTTAAAACTCATGATCATATTCTGTAATAATGCTTTCTTACCTGGACCTGAGCAGCTGCTTGTTCTTGTTCCTGATAGTACTGAGAAGCTCTCCTGTCCTCCTCTTCCTGGAGCTTCTTCGCTAGCTCTAGATCACTGATTCCTTCTGGGATCTGTTCCCAGTTAATCTCTTGATTTTGCTGCTCTTGTTGTAGAGACAATGCCATCAGATAATCCTAAACGGTAAATTTGTTTATTAATGCTCTTTCCCATAGAAAATAGTCAAGTCATATCAAATGAATTTTTCAGCATGTACAGCTACATAGTACCATCACTTTTCTCCTAGCCTCACCTTCAAATACATTTACCTCATGGAAAACAGGAATTTGTTTCAGAACCTGTTCATAACCTGAACTGCAGAAAGGCTAAACCAGCTACTTCACATTTCTCCTTTCACAGTGCCTATGTCACAGCATAACAAAACACAAAAGCTAATTTTAAAAAATCTGCTTTCGGGTTAAATTCCATTACCTGGATAGCAGCAAAAGACAGACAGTGTCAGCTCATACCAGTTCTAGGTAGAAGTAAAGATTTTGAAGCTGTCTTTTTGTAATTTGCTATTTCTAATTAACACTCTGATTATGCTTGATAGAGCATCTGTCGCCACTCTCCTGAATAGGGTTGAGAGTACATCAATAAGGAACACTAACTCCTAAACAGATGAGAAAATAATCAAAAGGTAGGTTTTGGATATATCCAGACAGCAACTCAAGATAGTACTACCCCTGTTATCTCTGCCAGATTCTTTAATCTGCAAGAGAGATATACAGTGCTTGAATTTATTAAAAAGCACCTGCTTATTCATTTTTTCCCCAGTATTTAAAAAACATTAATGGTGATTATTATAAACTTATTTTGCTTGTTCAGAATGTAAGATTTCCAAGGAGCTTGGTCTTGCTATGTGCTTTTGCATGAACTGGTACAAGTAAGTCCTGTCTCAGACACAGCTTCTAGAAACTATTATATATAGTTAAGAATAACAAATACATACAGTCTGCTATAGTTTTTGTCCTACATTCAGCAAAGCTGGCATCAGAAGGCAAAGTTCAGTTATGAGAATATTCATGAGCTGAAATGAATTTGTTACAGGGGCAAAGTTTCACAGTGCTGGTTTTGTTTCCATATACAAGGAAGATGTGACATTTCACCTGAATAAGTTTTTTGCAGAAGTGGATGCTGAGAGATTAAAATCAGATTTTCCAAACTATTCACAGTTGGTCTTATTCTTCCTCCCTTGAAGTCATGCTAATACTTGAAAGTAGGACTTTTGAGAACCCCAACCTAAGTATCTAAAGAATATTTTTATACTCCTATATATGCATGAGTACACATACATAAACAACTGTGTAAGTAAACATATATATGACTAAAAGTAAGTACTAATTGTTATATATAGTCACAAGCAAACAGAAAGATACAACTGAAAGGCATAAATCCAGTACTTGATCTATTTGATCCTGCTGCCCTCTGTAGACAGTTTCAGGGTCTGATGGAGGCCGTAGGTGGAATTCAGAATCACAGAAATTTCCATCACCATCCACATTGTGTAAGCTTTCCCAGACAACTTTCTCTTCTGTAAGAAAGCCCTGGTCTGTCACCAGCAGGTAAAGCTGACCCTATGCAGAAGAATAAAGAAAACCTGTAAAACTAAAAAAAAATTTTTTTACAATCTAATTAGCAGAAATGATCAGCTAATACAACTGTTGCATTCCAGTAAAATATTCATTTAGATTTTTTAGCAAGTTTAAAATTTAAATAAATCACTATACAGCATTAGAACACCAGATACTAGTATTCATTGCTAAATTAACAGCCACACTTAATTTCTGTGTTCCATCTTGTAATTTTTCATTATTAATGAAAGTTCATATTGACTAAAAATTAATATAAAACGTGAAAACATACCTTGGTATCTCCTTGGAAACATACCTAAGTAGTACAACTCAAGACTGGCAATGTAAATTTTAAATTCCAGGACAAATCACATTAAATTCCAAAGGCAAGATCTGGAGACAAAGGTGATCTTTCCAAATAATCCAAGAGCTATTACCTCAAAACAACCAGATCTCAAACTTCATGTTTTATAATGGGTTTTGACAGAATTTGAGGTTTATTTCAATTGAAAAAACTAAATTTAAGATTCTTGCTATCACTTGTCACCAATAACTGCTTTTGTTGGATTTTAGCCTTTTTACAGTTCCATAAGGCTAAATTTCTCGATTTCAAACCCTGAAATTATAAAATGGGCTGGTCTGGGAGTGAAAGAGACAATACTAACAAGGCCAGAAGCCAAGGTACAGGAAGGATGAAATGCAAGCTTAGGTTGAAGGAATGGGAGAGGAGCTGAAAGCAAAGGGAAATTACAAAAACTAGCCTCAAGTAAAAGGAAATGGTGCTGCATGTTTGAGGGACAGAAAAGCAACACAAAAAAAAAATTTAAAAAAATAATCTATGTTTAAGTTTAAATTTAAAATTAGTTTTTAATCTTACCCTACCCCTTTTATAATGTTTTTAGAATTATACTCCAAAGCAAGAATGTTATTACTGACCATACAGCACATTTAAGAATGAAGCTTCCATTAGTATTACTGAACGTACTGGGTCAAGATATTCAATGCAAAACTTGTTGCAGTGTTTTAGCTGTAAAAATCAAAGCAGTTTATTGCGACATCCACAGAAATTTGCTATTTGTATTACAGCAGCACACAACAGCTTCTCAAAGATCATTGTGCTAAATGTACCAAAACACAAGAGGCAAATGTTGTAATGATTTCATAGTCTGAACAGGCAAAAAATGAAAGCATTGCCCCTATTCAACAAGTACAGAACTAGCTCACTGATTTCTCTCAAGTCATTGAGACTGTCAGAGATGCTGAAATCAAAATCAGATCTCTTCAATCCTACTAAGTTTACAGCCACGCCTTCTGTGGCTGGTAGGTCACACAACACAACAAAAATATTATTTGAAGATTCATATGCAGCGATTGTTCTAATATTACCCAATACCACAAGATGCACTTATACAAAAGGCCAAACAGAACAGGTAAAAAACCCACAAAGGACACCGCTATATGTTCAAGCTTTGGAATGGCAGTTACCCCAACACAGTTGGGCTTGTAGACATAAATACAATTGTCAGCAACAAGTTTGATCACATAACATGATCTAAGGAATCATCTTTCCCTCAGAAACCTGCCTAAAAACTGAATGCTACTTCTGATGCTTAAAAATCACCCAAAGAAAATAAAAGGAAATAATTCCACAACATTTCGAATTTGCACAGAATACATATTTCACAGCATCTTCTATATAAGAAGTCTTTTAAAAAAAAAGTAAAATAAAAATTAAAAAAAAAAAAAAATCACAGAATCTTTAAGGTAAGTGTATTTGAACCTTTTAAATTTTATTTTGACCAGTACGTTGATTCAAACAAAACCTAAAAAGAAAAAAAAAAGGAGAGGGGGGGGTACATCAAGTTTTCTTCTATTATGCCATACTTTTTAAATTACTTTTTAAACAGCTCAAACAACGTAGCTTAATAATACTGAAATAGTAAAGTGTTAATGCTTTCATAATCTCCCACCTATTATACGCTGAACTTTTCACACACTAATATTAAAGTATATTATTACCTTTATGGGATTAGAATCTAGTATCTGTCATTCAAAGATATTTTAAAGCTAACACTTGTTTGAAGTAGAAAACTGTTTCAATCTTAAATAAAATTCATATTCTTACTTTCAATTTTTAACACTTCCTCAGCTGAACTATACCTGAACACTGGTTTTAAAAACATCATTAGAGTAAATAAAAAAAAATTCTAACACAGCTCCCTGATGAAAGGCAATAAACTGCATTACGTATTACCACATTACCTAAACAATACCATTCCAATTCCAATACCAACTGCATAGTTTAAAAACATGCTGCTTCAATTTAACAAAATCTAGCAAACCAACAAACACAGGCTCCCTAGTACTTGTGAAGAGACAGAGTTCCTTTTCACTTTATTGGAATGAAATAACAATAGGAAACCACAGATCGCAGATCCAAAGAAATCTTTCCCTTTTTGTTTTTTTATCAAGTGCTCTGATCTCTACTTCGTATTAGTATAATTTAATGGAATTTCTCCAAAAAACCAAACAGATTCTCAAGGACCCTCATAATATTGCTAATAGTCATGTAACTTTTGGTAATAATTGGACAACTTTCAGTTTCATATACCAAATAATAAGTCAGCTCTTTTTGTATTAGGTGTAATGTAGCTATTCATCTCCACAGATACCAATCTTCCTAGAACTTCAATGTTTTAAAGTTCTTTGCAACAAGCAAAGAGAGGCCATATTTACAGACTGGTTCTATAGGCACTGTTTTAATGCCATGCATGTTCTCTTCCCAATCTTAAAGGCTCACAAGCCAACTTCACTGGCACACCCAAATTCCACTGAAGGGATTTTGTCATATGAGAAAATCTTTTTATCATATGACCTTCATGCTGCCTCTAAATTTGAGCTGCACTCAGTAACAACATGCCTGGTGCCAGGAACCAGCCACCGTTCTCCAGCACTGAAGAGATCATGAGATCGGTCTAGCTGCTAAGAGATAGTGATATACAACCAGTATAACACTGCGATTTCTGACTTGATGTGTCCAGTAGTTTTAGACCACATTTTTAGCCTACCAAACAAAGTTTTGCACTTCAGCTCCACTCAGCGCAACACTTCAGGAGGAAAAGAGAAAGAAGGTGCACAGTGACAGAATCAGTAAGGATTATTAAGTGTAGAAACATTTATTTACACTGAACTAAACAATTATGAAGGCAGCTTTAAAAAAGGCAAAAAAGAGAATGTGTTTTCTACTTAATAGGTCATGGTCCTGATTCTCCATTTGCTTTCTAGTCAGGGTTACAGCTAAAACAGGATGATCAGCACACTAAGGTCATGCAATTAAGCTAACAAATGTACATAAACATGCTTTTCAAGTACACCTTGCAAGAACAATATCATACTTTACAAAATAAATGTGTTTCTACCTTCATAAAATCTTAACTGTCCCTTTCTAAAGTATTACCACCTTATCTTTTAGGTTTATTTTTAAGTGTGGTGGGTTTTTAGTAAATACAGTCTCATGGGTTAATACTGCCCCCCAAAATCCTAGCACATAATATACAGCAATAATAACTACTAAGGACTGTTGTCAATGGGGAGTAAAACAATAAAGTCTCAAGTGCGTAACTGTTCAGGTAAACTGTGCCTACAATAAAGTTAGGAATAATTATTTATCCAAAGAATCAATATCTAGATATTGTAGACCAATGCCCAGATTTTATAGTTTCACATATAAAAAGCTTAAATAAAGCCAAGGATAAAAGCAAGACTATTCTCCTAGAAGAATAAGCTCCTCTTGTTTGCACAAAAAAAACCCCAAAAAACAAAACCCAAAACTTTCTGAAATGCAAACAGATGTAGGCTGCAGCTGGTGTTCCTGGTTACAAGACCTCCTTTCCTGGGTTAATTTCATGACCAGATTAAGTAATTAAAATTAATGCTTTTAAACTATTTGTTCTGATGCCAATTACCAAGTTTCCAGCAATTTAGAAAACTGAAAAGGAAAACCAAACACCTGTCCAATAGCTTCATACAGTAAAGACAAACATTTTAAGCCTTATCCTTTGAAGTCTATATAAATGTTCTCTTGGACTTCTGGATCAGACCCCTTGGTTTCTATAAAGGTGTTTAATGTTGACATGAATGAGTGCTATTATTTTGAGATTAGTCTAATCTATCTGAATGTTTTAACTGTTAGAGAAGATTAAGGTTTGGTGTTGTTTTTTTTTTTAAATTATACACCATTTGGTTCAACAGAATAACCCTCAGAATAAAAACGGTACACTTAAGAAATGGAAAAATATTTAAACATGTTTAAGAAGCTACATACACTGAGTCTACTATGCCAAACTCAGACATCATCTTAAATGCCCAAGGAAAAAGCGCAATTATTGCTATGAAATATACTTTGTATTTGAAGAAAAGTCTGTGTTGAGTTCTGAAACAGAAACCCAACATTCATCAAGTAGAGAACATAACTGCAACACACATACTTAAAAATCCAAACAGGTGTCTTCTCAGTAAAGAAAATAAGATTGTATTACAGTCACATCAGTGGGAAAAATGTTCCAACTGAACTAAGATATTCTTACCAAACTGATCCCCTCTTTACAGTCCTGTTTTTCCTTGATCTAGGGAATTATCATGTGATGTATTATTATCTGTGTAATGCAAAGCAAAGGCAAAAAAAAAAATCACATCTTTAACTGCTGAAAATTACTACTGTATAATCACATGAACCAAGACATTAATAGGCAATTAAAGGGACAGGAAGTAGAATAAATGAGTACTCCAGCAAATGGACAAGTAACAGTGAAAGAGATTAAAAATCTGATAACTGAACTGCAATTATTAACTAACACTCACCATACTTCAACAGATGTCTAATATGACAGAATTGCCATACTTGCTTTTCTTTTATATGTGATAATGAAAATTTTAAAAATGTTACATAATTTTTCTATAAACATAAACATGATCGTAATACTCAAAAGTTTTTTCAGATTAGA